TTCAAACTTGGGATCTCTTCCAACATTAGGAAGAGAAACACCAGTAGACTAAGAGCTAATCAGTTCCCTACAACATATTTAAAAGGCTTATTATCACAAAACGTCCCTAAGGTTTATGAAACTATCAGATTGCATCCTTAATGTTTTTTTGTCATTCGTGGTCCTCAAGATTAGTATGCATGATCACAAATGGTCCCTGCTGTTAGGTTCCGTCAAAAAACTCCGTTAGTTTGCTGACGTGGCATATATGTATATCACAAAATATCCTTGAGGTTCACACACCTATCACAAATGGTCCTTACGGAATTTTTTAATTTTTTAAATTTAATATTCATAAAATTTTTGTTTTCTTTTTAAAATTTTATGAATTATAATTATTTTAAAATATATATTAAATTTTAAATACATATGACACTATTTTATTGTAGTTGTGGGCTCCATACATGTCACATCAACAAACTAATGAAGTTTTTAAAAAATAATTTAAAATTCATAAAATTTAAAAATGAAAAAAAAACTAAAGGTTTAGGATTCATAAATGGTCCTTAAGATTAAAATCCTTCTATAAATGGTTTTTTCATTTATAAATAATTTTAAAAAGAAAACCAAAATTTTATGAATTTTAAATTAAAAAATTCGTAGGGACCATTTGTGATAAATGTGTAAACCTCAGACATGTTTTGTGATATATATGTATGTCATGTCAACAAATTAACAGAGTTTTCGACAAAACCTAACAGCAATGACCATTTGTGATTGCACATACTACCCTTGAGGACCATAAGTGACAAAAAAACATTAAGGATGCAATGTGATAGTTTCGTAAACCTTAAGGACGTTTTGTGATAATAAGCCTATTTAAAATGGTAAACAAATTATTTTCAAAAGACTAAATGTCCATATAAAAAATAGAACTGTCAAATAATTCACTGTTGAATCTATATATATAAAGCAAAAGGCGGAAAATAGTGAAACATTCAAAATACCATAAAATACCCTTGGTTAATGCAAACATTAAGAATTGAAATTATTAATTAAATGAGGATAATATGGTAAATTCACATTTTTAACATTCAAAATACCATAAAACCAAATTTGCAGCAAATAATACGAACCAACAAATTGAACACCAAGCAAGGTACAGCCCCCCTCTCTCTCTGCTTCCTGAACCCTAGCCCCCCTCTCTTCTAGCGCCGCCAGGGGAGAAGTAGTCACCGACCCTTCCCACCACACCCACCCCACCCCCCCCCCCCCCCCCTCCTTTCTTGCCTCCTTGCTCCTCCTTTCCTCCTATCCTCCCTTCCCCCCCTTCTCCTCCCTCTTTTTGGTTCTTTGTTTTGTTTTTTTCGGCTTTTTCTCCATTCCCCTCTCCCCCCCCCCCCCCCTTTTTTCTCTGGTTCCCTCTCCCCCTCTCTCCTTTGTCCCCCTTCCTCTCCTCCCTTCTCTGTCCTCTTTTCCAAATCTCTACCTTCACTTTTTTCTTCTTTTTTTTTCTTTTGCTTTCTTTTCTTTTCTCCCATCTCCTTCTTTTTAATTTCTTTTCTGATTTTCTCCTTTACCCCCTTTTTTTCCCCTACCTTCTCCTCCCTCTTCCATTCCCCCTCCCCCCTAAAATTTTTTCCTCCACGGGTTGCTGCTCTGTTTTTGCAGAGCCAGTTCCTTTTCGTTCTTCTTTTTTGTTTCCTTTTTCCTTTTTTTTAAAGTTTAATTTGTTTCGTGTTTTAGGCCGTGAAGGCTTCAGTTTTAGTTTCTAGTGTTCTTTACAGGTTTCTGCAATGCATTTTCTCTCCTCATTGTTGGAGGCTGCGTCACATCGGTTGGTCTTAACTACTATCATCGGCTCCTTGACTCCACAGATGTTTCTTCTGTTGTCTATCCTCAGTGGAACTGCTGGAGTTTGGGATGCCCTTAAAGTGCAAATCGCACTTATTGCTTGGATTATGGTAGTGCTACTCCTACTTGGTGTAGCTTTGGTGGTTTGCCCACCACCATTTTCTGTTGGTCACTGGTTTCTCCTTGGTGGTTGTCGGCTTGCTATGGTGGCGCGGCTTGTGACTGTAGGATTGTGCGGCAGATGTCTGTTAATGGTGTTAGGGTTTCCTAATGTTGTGTTGAGCTTTGTGGGCTTTTGCATTTTGTGGGTTTTCTGCCTTTATGTGGGCCATTCGCCTCTATGTGGGCTTAATGCCTTTATGCATGCTTTATGCATTTTGTTAGTTTTATTTGTAGTGGGCTATGTCTGTATGCATTGCATTTTGTGTGAACTCAATTATTTGAGTTCATTTTGATGTAATATGACATTTGACCTTCTATTTAATGAAACAAGATTTCGTCCAAAAAAACAAATTGAACACCAAAAGTGCAACTAGATGAACAAGAGAAATTGAAAGAGGCTAGGCCAACCTTTGCAAATTGTACTAGCAGAGCACTTGGATTCCGGGAAGTAGTTACCAAAATCTTGGGATCTCTTTCTGCTGCTTTTGCGTACTCATCCTCGATATGTGTCCTTGGGACTAGGATTCAAAAATGAAAACAGGGAAGAATTGACCACATGATAAAATGTAAAACTACAAATTACAGGACAGTTGGGTATCAAGAGTTTTTCGAGTATTTGTTTTAAATTATAGACATCATGTACACAGAGCCAATTTCGAAGTGCACTTGTACAGGCTCATTATCACTACATGCAAATTTTTACTGAATGTCTTCTACAAGACCCATATCTATCTAGCCTGTTAAGCCTCATTTCTTAATTTCAACTTCCTTACCTATAATGTGAAAATCAAATAAACTTTAACCATTCATTCTTCTCACAGTTTTCCTTTTTCCTTCTTTAAGAACCAACAGAACCATCAAGAAAAGTACATTGGCGGTCTAAACAACCAAAGAAGAGAAAAAAGAATTTCTATATACTCATATACCAGCAGTGTTCTCATCTTCGAGATTGATTTCAACAGTACAAACATCAACATGACATCTAAAGTACAAATCCCAAGAGGGCAACGAACTAACATGTTAAAAACAAAACTATATTGAGCAAGTCTCACTAAAATTACTAGCCCACATCACCACAATTAACCATAAGCCCAAAAAAAGCCCACAAACCCAACATGACCCTAAAGCAATCCATGAGCGTAAATGAACTCTACCACCACCACATGATGAAGCGTCGTCATGACCATACCCACCATTGCATCCGTAACATATATGAGGAAAATATAATTTCCAATGATCTACCTTTGCATTAGAGTGAACAAATTAATGAAATAAACAACCCTGTGAAAGAACAATTGGGTGATTCCATCAAAGAAGATGTAGAAACAAATTTAGAGAACATGAGTATTGTTAGAGTGTGGGTTTTGAAAGAATGATTTGATTGAGAACATAGCTTAAAAGGAGTGATGGGGAACTTCAATCTAAGCAAGGCTCAAAAGAAATCACCACAAGAGGCTTCTTAATCAAAACGCCCGAGTTAACTTATTCACTAATCCAAAAGGAAAAAAACGAGAAGAGAGGAGGGGGAGAAGGGCCAGTGACGCTTCTTCCTCCCTCTTTCTATTGAGTTTTCCTTTCATACTCACAGAGAGAGAGAGAGAGAGAGAGAGAGAGAGAGAGAGAGAGAGAGAGAGAGAGAGAGAGAGAGCGCGGCTAGAGATTCATAGACTGTCAATGTAATCTTCTTTTGATAAAAATAAAAAATAAAAAACCGATACAAGTTTATTAGATTAAATAGAAAAAGAATATAAAGGAAAAAATGGTAAAGGAGTCATCCCAATATTAGTACGACATATAATATGGACAAAACCTTCCCCCAATAACGTGAAGAGAAAGACTATTAAACTAATGTTAAATATCCAAATTATCAAAGTTTTTATTGAGCTTAATAAAGAGCAGCAAGAGGATTTTTTTTCCCCATATGCATGTGATGCCATTTTATTTGAGGATAAGCCAAAAAAGTAAAAAGGAAAACCAATTATTAAGCAATTGTTTAATGTTGACCGAAAAACAATTGTTTAATTGTTTAATTAAACCCTAAACCCTTAATTAATTGTTTAATTAAGCATGTTAGGACAAGGTACCGTACGGAGAGGTACCAAAATTAACTTGGAGAATATAAAACAAACTTTGACCCATTTACGACCAGCGTTTGACACAATTATACGTGAGCTGAGAACTTTTATTCTTTTTGCCAAAACGTGAGCTGAGAATTCACAACCAAGAAAACAGAGAGACTTGACGAAGAAAACACGCCAGCGCTCGTCTCCGTCGTCGGCTTGTCTCCTCATCTCCTCCTTCTTGGGCTGGAAATCTCTTCCTGCTAGTTGAAGAGAGTCTCTTCTTCTGTCACCATAAGGTAACCTTCCCTTTCCTATCTATGATACCTCACCCCTGAAATTTTGTTTTTGGTCTTCTGGGTTTTGGAAGACCACTGCATTTCTACCTTTTGGCTTGTTCAGTTCATTGTTTCACTATGAAAAGTTGGAACCTTTTGTTATTTTAATCACTATGTTCAAGATTATTGCGGTTTTTTTCTTTGATTATGTTTTTTCTTGGTCGCTTATGTATTTTCTTGGTCTTCAGGATCTGAGTTTTTCTTTAACTTTTGGGGAAGGAATCGTACTTAGAGGAGCACAAGTGAAATTCTGAGGTACCCTTTTCTTTTGCAATCTTTTCTTTGAGAGATTGCATTTATTTTGTTAATTCTTTTTCTTGCTCTGTTTGGTTTTGCTTTTCCTTTATGTTGGACAGAGGAGATTATGCAAGCCCATTTTGGTGGTTGCCATATTTATCTATTTTCTATTGCCTTGCTTGTTCTGCATGTTAATGGCTTTTATAGTTTGTTTGAGTGAAAATGGCATAAAACTGGCAGTGGGTTGAGCAAAACATGAAGCAAGCAAGCAAATGAATTTCCTGCATTTCTCTGTTATATTCTTGTAATTCAAGAAGACTAATTTCTTTTTCTTGGTTGATGTTTCTTGGTAGTTTTTTTAGCGAGAACAATGGTGATGCCAACCGAAACTGAAAGCCCAATATACCTGATGGTTAGGGCAGATGAAACGATTTTTTGGTACGTTATTGAAAGGAAATCCACGGCGGCGACGGCAGAAAATGATAACAACAACGAAGGGAGGAACATTATAGTGCTGCGTGAGAGCGAAAGAGACAGAGTCCGACAACTCAATCTGCCTAGTTTTGGGGGCGAAGGGTTGGACTGGATTGACTTCAGCAGGCTTGTTGCCGTGAACCGCCGCTTGTACCTCATTGGCAGTATCATTGGGGACACAAATAAAATCGGTAGGGTCGGGTTGAGGTACATTGACTTGGATGCTACTCCGACGCCGATCTGGCATATTGGGGGCGGAGTTAATAGCGACAGACAAGGCGGGGCTATTGCTCGAGAGGATGGCTGGATCTTTACTTCGGGAGATAACCTCTACCGTGTGAATCATCCTAGTGGCGACTCCACCAAGTTGCCGAAAAAGGAAGGCCTGACAGGAGAAGTACATATGCTTGGTGTTACTATGAGTAATATTTTGGTTTATAACCCCATGTTAGATTACAACACCATGTACTCCATAGATTTGAGATCTAACCGCTGGGAAGTCATTTGCGACAGATTTTGGGGTGTATGGTCCCCTGGGGTGATACTTTTTGACGACTCGCTTTTGTTCTCCCTTGGAACGCAAAACCCATCATCGGAAAGAGAATCCCCTGGTTTTAATGCTCGACCAGGGGTATATGCGTTTGATATTCGTACTCGTAGATGGTTGTCCAGCCCACTTGAGGGCCTGAAAAATGAGGTAGGCCTTGAAAATTTTGACCCTGACCTTGGCCTTGAGACAGTCCTTCCCAGTGAGGGTCCATATGACAGTGGAGATGTACTCTTCCCTACGGATGAGCCTGTAGACCTATTCAAGCCATGGTGGGTTCCACTGTCGTTGGTTAAAGTTGGAGTCGAGAATGGCCACCACAAGTTGGGTTTGGTATGGGATCGCATGATCATCCACGACAACGATGTAAGGTCTTGTCAAATTCATTGGTGCAAGTTCAAGATACTTACCCCTAATGGTGGTGATATATTAAAGGCTGAATTGCTGTCAAGTGGAATATGCAATCTAGATGAAACCACTTACATGGTGATGAATTGCACAGCAGGATTGTAAGTAACGTCCCTTAATATGCATATGCTAATTAGTTGTTATATTTATCAATCTAGCTGCATGTGTTTTTTGTTGTGTCGTGCCATCTTTCCGATCACAACCCAGAGAGTTTAAACTATAAGTAATATATATATATATATGGAGAAGTCAGCATGCTATTAATTATCTCTTTGCAATCACATCGACACGTATACTCTGCTTGAGACGACTGACAGTAGACTAAGTGTGGTTAGTTTGTCTATGGCTAAATTTAAAACTAAAACAAAAGCTGAACAAGCACAACTTTCTCTTTAGAGATAAGAAGTTTCAAACTAAATGCATAACTTTTCTTTTTTTGCTTTGTCTGCCCAAATAGCATTTTTAAGTTTGTGCCTCAAGTTGTTCAGACTGGCTAATGTGAGTTGGGTAATTCCAAGGACCAGTTTTTCTTTGCGTTGTGAAAATATTAAGCCGTTTTGGAGGATGAAAGAAGACTAAAGGTCTTCGGGGCTGTTTGGTGCTTGGCAGCTAGCTGTGTTCTGTTATTTGGATGACAGGAAACAAAATTCTTTGTTAAATGTTGGCTCCTATTGCTGAACTGAGCATCAAAACTTTGAATAATGAGTCATTCAACCAATGTCGTAAGCTTCCAAGCTTTTATAAGTTTGGATAGTATAGGTTCTAAATTGCATGACACTTAATGCTATGTGACTCTCATTATTTGGATATACTCATTGACAGGGTAGTTGCACCAGATGAGGGCAATGAAGAAGAGAAGGGTGATAAAAGAAGAGAAGGGTAATGAAGAAAAGTAACTTGAAAGTCAGTCATATATATTAGGTTATCTATAGAATCTTAAGTTGATGCTAATTTTATCTCATTGTTTGACTGTGTATCTATTAACAGGGTCACTGCACCAGATGGCGGTAATGAAGAAGAGAGTGATAGTAAAAGCAGAAGAGGGTAATGAAGAAGAGTGACTTGAAAGACATATTATATTTGTAGAATCTTATGTTGACGTAATTTTATCTCATTGTTTGACTTTGTATCTACAGGGTAAATGCACCAGACGACAGTAATGAAGAAGAGAAGGGCAATGAAAGAAGTGGAAGGTAATGAAGAATAGTTGTTGTTACCTTCCCATTGATTAGTTGTGGATTATGACTTTTCTTGTTGCAGCTGCTTCCCAACAAATCAGATAGGGGAAACTCGCTGATTACTTTGTTATTCAAGGTATATTTGATGGTTTTGTTTTGCCTGAAATTTTCTTTGGATTTATGCTTTACTAATTTTCTTAATCTTATGTTTGGTGAAGGTGAAGTTGGAGGCCTGAAGCCAGTGCATCCTTTTTGGAATTTGTAAACTGCAAGTTTGAACTTGTTTTTGTTTTGCATAGACTGTAGTTTGAACTTCACCTATATGTCCAGTTAATTGTATGACTTAGTTAAGCTGGGACTTAGTTATATTACCCAAAAAATATGACAAAAGAAAAATGGGGACTTTGCTATGGATATTTGAAGTTTCGTTAATGAAGGTTATCTTTGAATCATGGATTTTGGATTAATGTTATGTTTAGTGTTAATGATTTGATTCAGAAATGATGGCGATGCCTCAGGTGGCGTCGCCATCTCCTTTGAGTTTTAAGGATAAACTCACGTACCTCCGGGAATGATTCACCTCCTCCATTCCAGCCGTACGACTATTTGGAATAGTGGTATAGATGCTTTGCTTGAGGACTCAAAGGAGAACTGTGTTTTCTTCTTGTCTGGCTAAGTTAAATTCAAACGTCAATGCCAGTTTAAGCAAAAAAATAAATATACGGAACAGGGATAAGTTTTTTTTCTTCAAGAAGCATCAATTTAAACTTGAAACTCATTCTCTCTCTGTGTTTTTTTGCTAGAAAAACTACTGCAGTTATTTGGGGATGTTTGGTGGTAGCTGTTTTGTGATTTGGGTTATTTGTGCACTGAGTTTCTATTTCCATTCAGAAATGAAAATGAGGAATTAGAACCAAAAGTTCAAGACAGGGAGGGTTACTTATTTACATCTAGTATCTTGCTCAACCAAAACAGTGATTTCAAATGTAGTCCCCGACTCTTATTTGTCCAACTCATAATATTCAAATTATAGATGAGTATCCGTTAAACAAATTTCACAACAGCCTTTTACACAGCAATCTACTGCTGGACCTGAACATCTGAACTTTAACACATCCACACAACGTAAAGTACATTCACACTACTTTTCACGTAGTAGTGCGTTTGGATGAGAGAAATAAACTTGAAATTTTGATAAAAGTCAAAATTTCTAAATTGACATGAACCAATTCCCGTGTTTAGATTAAAAAAAACCATAGAAATTTAGAAATTCCACATGAAAAAAAAACATGGAATTTGAGAGTGAATGAAAAAGTTAAAATGACAGAGCTATGAAAGAGTTCCCCTCATATTCTAGGTTTATTATTCTAGAGTTTCCTGCCTCCTAAAGATTGTATAGAATTTTCCTGTATCTTCATAGGGTTCGGTAGCAGGACCCCAGTTTCGAGTTTCGAGTCTGGGCCTGCAACATGGGGATTTGCGGGTGTCAAAAAAAATGAATAAAGAACTAGAATCGCCCATGATATCATGTACACAGCCAATTTCGAAGTGCACTTGTACAGGCTCATCATAACTACATGCAAATTTTTACCGAATGTTCTCGAAAAGAGTATCTATAATGTGAAAATCAAATAAACTTTAACCATTCATTCTTCTCACACTTTCCTTTTTCCTTCTTTAAAAACCAACAGAACCATCAAGAAATATACATTGGCGGTCTAAACAACCAAAGAAGAGAAAGAAGAATTTCTATATACTCATATACCAGCAGTGTTCTCATCTTCGAGATCGATTTCTCGACAAAGCTCAGCCTCTTCATTCCGAAGCTCAGTGGGAATCGGTTTTCCCTCTGCAAGAAAACAAAAGGTGTCCCAAATTTGTTGAAGAATACACGAGTCAACATCAGAAACTTAAAAAAATAGAAAGTCTCATATAATATATAGTGTCTTTTGTATAAAATACACAGTTTAACAAGTGATTAAGTTGTAGACAATATCAATATTGCTAATGGTGTGACAAGAGTTGTTGAAGAATACATGAGTCCTATCCAACATCGTAAATTTAACAAAATAGAAAGTCTCATTTAATAAATGGTTTCCTCCTAATGAAATCGAAGTCTTTTGTATAAAATACAAAACCTCACACCTGCTAAATAAGTGGTTAAGTTAAGAATAATATCAACTAACCCTAAAACAAAATCAAAGATAAAAAGGATAACCTTGCAGAGGTTCTCTAATCTTGCGCTTGTTCTCGTAGAGAAGGCGTTCTCTGCCTTCTAAGCTCTTTCTGTACAAATATTCTTTCATCAATCTAGTATTTTTTTCTCTTCATACTCTCTCTCTCTCACTCACTGCTCAGGAATGGTGATGTCCAGGGGCGAGAGGGAGACAGTAGAGCGAAGGCGGCTACAACTTCTGCCTTCCTAGGTTTAAAAATAATTGTTTTTTGATTCCCCACAGTTAAAATGAACAAAAAGAATTATATATACATATATATATTTAAATAAATAAATAGAAAAACCACGCCAACGGTTCACAGCCCCGAGTTGTGGTGGTTTTCCCCCAAAAAAAAATTACTTTTTATTTTTTAATCAATGTGAACCTGAAAATTTTAAAATAAAATTTTATAATGAACAAACTTGTAATTTTATAAAAGAAAAATTGGTATTTTTTTTTGGATAAAAGAAACATTGGTTGAGTTTTACTTAAAATAATTGGGTTCAATTAAAAACTTCCCTGAAACTTGGAGAAATTGAATCTCACCCATTAACTATGACATAAATATTTAAAAATTAATTGAATCGTATTTATATTATGGGCGGACCTAGTCGGGTTGGGTTAAGTTGGATCATACTGAACTCAAATGGGTAAGCCATGCACCGTGTCTAAATTTTAAATTCATTGACTATACCCTTCCCATCAAAAAATCAGGCCGACCCAATTTGGCCTATCGGCCGCGGGCCATATGATGAACCCTAAGCATTCTCATGTCGTCTTTGTTGCATCATGCATAAACAATAATATTTGACTGCACATTTGATGCAAACAATAATGACAACACATAAGATTCAAAACTAACATTTCATTAAGGATGCAACATAGCTTTCTAACCAGAGCATGCCGATTGCCAACTAAGATTTATACAATCCTATCATAATTATAAGCAAACTGTTTTAAGTTTTGATGATGCTATGTGGCCTCTACAAAGTAGTATATGCATGAGCAACATGTTTATATAAGAGATGCCATGCTATTTTTCCATCCAAAGGATCTACGCCTTGCTTTCGGGGGTGTGAAACTCAACCCAAACATTCCCTTGAGGGCATGCCCCTGTTCTACGAACATCACGAGCTTCGCAACAATGGCAGCGCTCTCCGTTACATGGTTCATATCATTTGTGTTACTCCACAAGCGGTTGGCCAGCTGCAGCCTCCTGCGCTTGGAATTCAGTGCAACGCCCCATTTCTGGAAGAGTCTCATTCTCTCTTCTTCTGAAAACCTTTTCTGCATCAGCTTGCTTAGCATCTGTCTCTCACGACCAATAGCTTTTATGCTGTGTCCAAATAAACATGCAAGGATAGGACAATGCAGTTAAATAACATAGAGTTACAGCAATAATTCATGAACATATATTTATTAATTTGTGCATGAAATATATGTTGCATTGAAACAAAACTCAAGTCCAAATTTTCATGGACTCCGACATTGGTCTAAAGGGTTGTAAACAGGTTTTTAACAATAAAAGAAACATTGTGTTAGATAAAAGAAAACAAAAAACAAGAGACAAGAAACAAAACTTGATTCATCTAACAAAAAGAAACTTGTTTCAAGTTATAACCATAATACATTTTCCTTGATTAAATTTAGCATCTAAAAGCACTCTGAAATTCAGAATATAGGCCAATCTCTGTTAAAATACCATGTTACTAGCCTGCGAAGCAAATTTTAGTGAAAATGACAACTATTGAACAGTTTTTATTTAAATGGGTAGCTACAGGAAGAGAGGAAACCAGGGGAGGGAGAGAGAGAGAACCTTGAAGCCAGTGTGAGCGCCTGACCATTTTCCACAGCATGATCTCCACGGGAAAAAGTCTCTTTGAGGAAAGAGAGTCTCCTAAGCTCTACCTCCATGTAAATGGAATCCGTTGGATCACCTTTGAAGAGCAAGAAAAAGTAGGTTCTGTGGACCACTGATATGTAGCAAGTTTCCCAAAGTTCAAGTATGGCCCTCTGCTGTCTCTCAAATTTCAGAGGCCAATCAAGTGTTTCTGATACTTCCAGCATTGGATCTATTCCTCCATCTTTCACATTCTTCTCAAAGTTTTCAGCTGCTACCCCAGTCTCTTGGTCCTAGCATGCACATACCGATCCATGTTAAATGAAGCAAAAAAAGGGTGAGAAGCTGACTCACCCAAATGCCTTAAAGTTCATATAAGCAATTTACTAGCTAAGAATATTGGTAAATAAGTTGTGAGAATGCGCAACTTAAGAAGATTATGAATTTGCATAATTCCATATCCACACAAGCCACATGAACCAGTTGAAATGTATAAAGTTTCTAAAAGTTGAAAAATTCTCTCCAACATGGAAATGCAAATGTTGCAATGCAAAACAGTCACAAATTCTTCCCAACTTTATTAACTTGAAAACTATAAAAGTGTGAATATTAAGAGAGTCAGAGTGATGGATAATGTTTCACATTCTCAGAAAATCATTCTAATTACCATTGCTCAAATAAGAGATGAACTCTGCAGAAAGCAAGATAGACATAAAATGGCATTCTTTTTGTTTGCTTTTTGGAAAAGTTTGGAAGTCAGGCACACTCTCACCTGACCATTGGCAAGTTGTTTGTCATACTCAAGCTTTTTGGCCATTTTCTTTAGTCCTGCGACAAAAGTATGGACACTAGTAATATCTTCATCGGTGGTCTGTGCTCCTAGCTCATCCACAGCACTCCCAAGGGAAGATTGAGAATCATTTCTTGACAACCTTCTGTTGGAATCATAATGTAATAGAGGAACCTTCCTCCCAAAACTTTCTGGTCTCCCATGAAAGCTTTTCTCAAACCCATTAGGTGGGGTTCTCTCCGATTTATCCGGAGAAGATGAGCCAGTCATGAGATTTGCTCTACAACTCCAGCTCCTAGTTAACTTTAGGCTTCTAGAACTTGACATATTTGCTGAAATATCATGCGGAAATGATTCTTCAGGGTAAGGACTACCAAGAGAATCAATGGTCATTTGTACATCATGTAGTCTCTGCTCCAATGTGCCATATGCAAAACCATTTTGCATCTGAATCCCTTCTCTATCTGCATTCACTGGGGTAGATATCAATTCTTGACCTGTTTCCCTTGTATCCCCAGATGTCAAAGCAGATGTTCCTTCATTGCCAATAGTAGATAAGGCAGGGGATCCAGAGTTCTTGTCCCAGCTTGGCTCTTCCATCTCAATACAGCGAACTTCTTTGCAGTAGTCATCAGTATTTTCTGCAGTTCCACCTGCAGTTTCCTCAGGACTGCTCTCACTGTCTCTTTCATCAAAATGAGGATTGTTGAACTTTCTGACACCATTCAGATAATGAGAATCAACCACACCTGATGATACTGAATATTCATCATCAGAAACATCCCCTGCTTGCCATTTAGGATGATGATTGTCTGAAGCCTGAAAGAGAAAAAATATGCAAGAGTTAGAAGAATAAGGGCATATATAACCTGTAATATAACTTCAAAATACATAGGCAAAATTATGTACTTGTCTTGAATCATTATCATTTCCAACCATCCGTAGTAAATCCTCCACCCGTGATTGAGCAAGATCGCGTTGCTTTTTCAGCTCTCTAATTTCCTTCTCCATCTGCAAAAATGTGGCATGCCATGTCTTGGTTTAAATGCATTGGATCCGACGCTTTCTTAAATCAACCATGTTTACAGATTCCAAATATGAGCATAAATAAATATAAAGCCTAGAGCACACTTACATCTAGCTGATGACTACATAGATGTAAGTGTGTTTTAGATACTAGGTACATGCAAATTTCCTTGAAACAGGCAATTTGGTACATTATAACTGATGATTTCCACTGCATCAAGGACTACATTGTGGACTTGGTTTTACCAAGTATGATTGGTAAAATTTGTCAGAATAGGTATGTGCAGTATTTCTCCTTGAAAGAAAACTTGGAGAAACATGTTCGTGTTTGTGAAACTTGGAAGCAAACTCAACACATCTCAAATGCAGTCTTCTTGACCTATCTTCTGACAGAATTTTCTCCCATATTAAAGTCTTAACTCATCTCATGTACTGCATTTTAAATAATGTCCTGTGATCTGTCACAGGTCTTAAGCAATATCTTCGTAGCTGTGTACATATATTTAATTCCCATTTATAGGTGCTATCCCTAATTGTAAACTACTTCAGAAAGTGACTCATTACCTTTTCTATCTGAACATCTTTCTTTCTAAGTAATGTTGTGTAGTCACAAGTTGAGGAAGGAGGGCCAGGTGTTCTCAACTCACTCTCCAATCTAGCCAGCTCTTTTTGTAAATGCTTAACCAGTGCCTTGTCTGACATGACTACATTGACCTGTGCTTTTGTAGTCACTTCTTTTGCACAACAAGCAAACAAAAGAGTGTTTCTAGTTTGCTCAACATGGCTTCGTGCAGGGCTCAAAGTGCAAATGATGGCAGTTCTAGCGTTACCACCCAAGCAAGGCTGCAGTATGCGTGTCAGCTTAGAATCTCTGTAATTGATGTGTCCATGTCTTCCTTTACTGTGTTGAACAATACAAGTACAATTATAAATCATATAACATGAGTAAGTACGACAAAGGAGGAAACATAAATTGTTCAGAAGAAAGGTCAGTCAGTCAATGTTTGCAAAGTCAGAAATTATATGAGGTAAGTATATATCTTTTTCCTGGAAGTAAACAAAACATTTTTTTTTTCTTTTATCAACGGGGGAGTGGGTAACAAAACAAATTAATTAATCATTATACTAACCACCTTCATTTACACTAGGAATACTTGTACTCAAATTTGCACCTTTAATGATAGCCAAGACAAAGGCATTGCTTTTGGAACCTTCAGGTCATTCATCATAACTACCCAAATTCAATAGTTTGTTAATTATCAGAAACATTACAGACAAATCCAGGAAATTATGATTAGATTACCTAGCATATCGGACCATTATTCTATTAACTTTTTTTCTGAAAAAACAAAGGTTAGAAAGACATTTTCAGTTTATTAAAAAATGACAGGAAAAAAAAACGCAGATAAAGATAAGTCATGTAATTGTAATTCAAAGGGTTTAGCCAGTTTTTGTGCCTAGTTGTAATTTCCCTCCAAGAAATCATATATTCCAGTGACATGGTGGTTCTAAACAATGATATAGAAAAAAGCTATCAGACTTGAAACCAAAAAAATTTATTACACATGTAGGTAGATAAACATAATAAAACAGCAATATCCACAATAAGTAATAATTTACTAGACCATTGCCTGCCAAATCAACTTGGTAATGTGAATGACATAAAGAAAGGACGGACTAGACAACCTTAGCTTGCGAATAACAGTCCCGAGAGTAAGTAAACTGCGATTAATGTGGCTGCCTTCTTTTAATCTCGTCCCAGCTGATAATGCCTGAGCTGCACGCTCACTTCCTGCCAAGTCCACAAAATTCTGCAACAAACCCATGACTTCTGAATGTATTATCAACATGATTTTGGGATTGGAAACCATTAAATTAATTTAACAGATAATTTTTATCTATTGAACCAAATACAATCTATAAATAATTAATATATATACCACGCTAGCTGCAAGGGTGGTTGAATTTCCCTTGCCTAAAAACTCACGAGCAGAACTTTCAATTGCCTGCAAGTTAAAGTAGTGTTAAGTAGAAAAGTCTAAAGCACTGCATATAAAAATGAAAACCCTTATCAAATGAAATCCAGGAGGAAGGGCACACCAATCTAATAATTTGATGTGATCTAGAGCTTTTCTCGTTCAATGCAGTCTCCCCTATCTGTCTTTGAGCTGCAATAATACACTAAAATACTTAAAATACAACATTTTCTGGTAAAGGCAGTATTTTCTAAAATGATTTACCTTCGCAGATAGAAAGGAGCTCCTTTAAATGGCTCCAGTCCCTCAGAACTTCCTCTCTGATTTTCTCTATTATAGTCCCCCGCTGATGAGAACGGAAAAGTGTCAAAGCAAAACTCTTATATACATGAAATAATTTAAAAAATAAAAAAATGCATCCACCTCGGGATCATCTAGCAGCCTAAGTGGAGTATTATCTGAACTTAGGAGGTCTCTAACAGCTTCATTGTATATCTCAATTGCTGAAAACTTTACAACAAAAGCTCGCTCCTCGTGCTGAAAGCAATAGCAATCCTTAGATTAGTGATGTCTCCAATAAGATCTTTATATTATTAAGGTCTGTAAATAAAGAGTACAGTCAAGTAAAAAATTGCAAATAAATAACTGCATAAAATCACTACACATTTTTCTTACCCTGTGTATATAGTCAAATATTTCTGCTACTGTAAACTCTGTTATACCATCCATGGTGTACGTTTTCCCACTGCTTGTTTGACCATATGCAAAAATACTTGCTGAAAAGAAAATCTTGGTGTAAACTTTCCACTAGTTGCATAAAGTAAGGTATGAGGAAATAGTTAGGACCCAGATCTTTGTACTTACAGTTGATACCATTGACAACTGAAAGGGCAATTTGTTGGGCTCCTTCTTCGTAAACCTGCCTTGTAGAGCAATCACCCCGAAATACTCTGTCTATCACAAAAATATAAACAGAGATAAAGAGATAAAGTAGTTTAGATGTTACCTTAAATTTATGAACTGTGATAAAACTTGCATTCCCAGAAATTCAGCAGGCAAAGGCCACTGCTGGGCATAATCATAGGCTTAACAGGAATTACAGTGAGTAACATTGTATACAGATGTCCCGTTCTCAACAGATGAATATTTTCTTACCAAATGTATAGGCAGTTGGAAATGTAGACCCTTCCCGCAGTGTGTTTCGGTATAAGATGGAGGTGTCATTGATGCATTCCCAATCTGCTACTTCATTTGATGCAACCTCCTTCTCACTCAAGGGCCTTAACCTCACTAAAACTAGAATCTTCTCTTCGCGAGCACCTGCTCCTTGCATCTTCTCCCACTTCATTAGATCTTCCCCACCAATTGCCCCCATTATCTAACTTTTCCACCCAACGCTCTTCTCAACCCAACAATCAATTAATTGAAACTTCTAAAAAATATATATATACATAAATCAAAAATCTCAAAGTGGAAACACAAGCTCAGTGTTCAAGTACTCCAACCAACTCTTGGTTTCCTAAAATGCAAGATGACTTAAATGTTCAAAGCAGGGTTGTTGCACTCGCCGAACATAAATTAGGCCTTTCATTACCACATTGTCTGCAACAAGAAGCTAATCATGGGTACTATCCAACCACCTCAGAAAAGCAAAAGAACATAAAAGAATACTAACTACAGGTCACATCAGCAACAACAAGCTAAACCATGGGTTTAAGCATTTTAACCCAAGCATCTCGTTTAAAAATAAAATATATAAAGATTGTTAAAACAATAAAAACCCCGAATGCCAATCACGTCCCATATCTGCACCCACAAGCCAGTCCGTGGCTAAATCCAACCACCCCCAGAAGACAACATTCACAAAGAAAGTAATTATAATTAAAAGGTTTGTTAAAGCTTAATTCTTCGATTCTAAGCTTCAGTTCACTATATTAAAAAATGATAAATGAAATCTCATTTGTTTGTTTTTTTTTAATGCTTCATCTGACAACGACCAACATGAATGTCAAATCCAAAGTGGCGACCCACTACTATGCTTCAACAGCAAGTAACGGAATCTCAATTAAAAAATCTTCAATATGCAATCAAAACGTGCAAGCTTGCAGAGAAAATGGTCCCCCAAAGGTCCAAACCTACCCAGATCATCATCATTTATTCGTTTTCACCTCTCAAAGTAAAGTTTCAAGCTTTTCACTGTACTTTTTTCTGTTTCTTTCACTAGCGCTAATATTTCTAACAAGTAGACAAAACCCAGATGAGATTTTACCTTCAAATTCTTTGTCGTTTTCACAAAACCGTTAGAGGCTCTCCGATTGGAAGCGCAATATGTGGCTAGAAGCATACTGCGATCACACTTGCCGACGACTTGTCGTTTCAGTCTGAGCTCTGAAGCTTCTCTGCTACTCTGATTTGTGTTCTGCAACACCAAAAAACAACAAAAGAGAGACAAAAATTAACTAAGAATTAATGCATTAGACGTTGGCCGTAAAACCCAATTCCAACGGTTATTTATTTCAATATATATATATATATATATATAAAACCCAGAACTACTAGTGACACAAAAATCCCTGTGTTATTTTATTACACTTTCAAAAAATGCCCCTCGAAATCCGATTTATTTACCTTTCTCGAACACAAACAAAACTCAACGCTTCGGATTTGGAGCTTCTCTGGGATCCAGAGGAGGAGGAGAAGGAGCCATTGAGATAGCTTCGAAGGAAATTGAAGCAAACTTGAAGCAAGATTTACTGACGAAGGAACTTTACTTCACTCGACGAATAAAGCGCAAAAGCAAAAAACAGAGAAAAAAGAAAAAGCTTGGAACCCGAAACGGAACGGAACGGAACGGCGTCGTAATGGAGGCCCGAGGAGCTCGATGTAACAGTAAAACTGGGGCGATTATATCCCACAGCCCACGATCTGAAGCTCTCTCTCTCTCGCGCTCCCAAAAAGAGAAAGAGACGGTTGCTTTCGTTCTAAAACAGAGCCTCACTGAACGTGGAGCGGGTGAAATTACGGTTGTGCCCGTGGCTTTTTCAAGCTGTGGGATGGCACGTGAAAAAGGGAAAGACGTTGGGGACTTGGGATGAATCAATGAGGGCTTCGGATGGGCAACACGTGGGGTTTTGTGATTCGGTGCTGTAGTTTTGGGTTCTGGGACTGTTCGATCTGGAGTCGATGACCGTCGGATGGTTTGGTTTTGGGTGGTTGTCGTCAACCGTCGGAAATGGACGGTGGATTGCGGTTGAGTACTAAAAAGAGAAAAGGCAGGTCATTAGGGAAACTGGAAAAAAAAAGGCATCATGTTTTTTTTTTGGTAAAAGAAGGAATCATGTTTCGGTTACCCAAATTGACCCAAAAAAGATAAATAAGTAATGAATGTTTGCCTTTAAATTTAACAATCATGGATCAACATGACTTACCAAAAAGAAACCCACATCAACATGATTGCTTACCAAAGAAATCATAAGGTTAACACCAAATAATTTGATAACTAATAGTTGGTAATAATTCTCAAAAAAACAAAAAATTGTATTACATGTTTTTCTTTCTTCTTATAACAAAAAAACTGAAGTAAAGATGTCACTAGACCATAAAAAAAAATGAGATCGTTTAAGATTAATCTACTATAAAAAAAAATGTCGTATACCATTTGTATGTAATGTGTTTAAGAGTGAAAGAAAGAAAATGTAAAGCTGTTGATAGAAAAAATATTAGGGTCCCGACACAATCTAATAAACAACTTGAAACTCATACGACATAATATATGCACATCAACTTATACAATAGAAAATATAAGTCAAATTCAGGTCAACCTGCTATGACATGATTAATAAATGAGTGGGTTTCGGATTGTCACGCCAATCCTTCAACCCATATGTAACCCGTCAAATTTAACCTATTTAATTTGTTAGTTTAAATTTTCATAGGATTAAAATTACTTTTTTTTTACACTAAATTTGTCTTTTCATATAATATTCTCAATATCATTATAAATTTCTTAGAATATGTGAGTGACATTATTGATAAATACTTAATAGATTAAATGAGTTTAAATAGACTAAATTGGTTTAAATATGCTAAATAAGTTCCAATGGTTAAACATGTCAAATGAGTGGGATGGGTTAATAGCTTAACCTAAATAATCCAACTCATTCATAAAAACATGTTATGTCATGTTACCCATTTAATAAACGGATAGTGTTCAAGTTAGAGCTTCTTGATAAGAGTTGTATTTAAATTGAAAATTTCAAATCCATGTAATACCTCGACATGACACAACTCATTGTCACCCCTACAAAATATGCAATACAAGTAAAAGATGGCAACATAGTAATGTGGCAAGGCAAATTGTTGTCTATAATTTCGAGCAAAAATCTCCACCAAGTAACGTATATGTATGCTTCTCTTATATTTTTTTCTTTCTTTATTTTGATTACAAAATAAAATTTGAAACAAAAAACATGTGTACTATGAAACGCTCAAAGTGAAGAACATGAGTAATATTTATCTATATATATAAAACAAAAGGCAGAGAATGGTCAAACATTCAAAATACCAGAAAATACCCTTAGTTAATACAAACATTAAGAATTGAAATTAGGGAGTTTCACTAAAACCCCCAAAATGGGGGCTGAAATTATAAAAAAAAACCAAACACCCAAAACACTTTATAAACACACCCAAAACCCATCATTACACACACTTAAAACTCATTTATAAACACACTCAAAAAATATACAATTGTTGATTTTGGGGTTGAGTTTGGGTGTGTTTCTATGTTTAAATAGTGCTTGGGTTTTTTTATAAATACATGTCTAGAATTGGGTTTATTTATAAATTTGTATTGAAGTTATTAATTAAAGAGGATAATATGGTAAATTCATACTTTTTCATATTAAAAAATTAAAATTAAAAGAAAATTTAGATAATGAATCCTACTTTTAAGAAACACAACTATCTATTATCTTTTTTAATTGTAAAATAATTTTTAAATTTTTTTATAAAAAAAAAACCTCTATCAGGCTTAGAAACACGTGCAGAGAGACTAATTTCCATAAATAAAAATCTACCAATTTTCTTTTTTAAAATAAAAAAATAAAATAAAAAAAAAAAAAAAAAAAAAAAAAAAAAATCGGCACTCTGATTAACAACACGGATCACGGATCACCAAACTTTTGGCTGTCAGCGGATCTGACATTGAACAAGATAATTATTTAAAAAAATAAAAAGAGTTTTTGAATGCTTGAGCCGGTTTGTCGGTTGACTAACTACCAAGTACCAACCTTAATGAAAAGATTGGGAGCGGGGCAATATTCACGTAGTTCCAAAACATCATCATACATTAAAAATTCCTTCACTTGTTTATGCGATATATATGCCTAACTCACTGGGCAATTGTTCTCTCAATCTCAACCAACTTCCTCTATTTTAATTTTCTAAATCTAAATAATTTGTCATTTACTATTTACCTTTTACATTATATTATTATTATTATTTTAACATTTAAGTTAACTAAGAGCATTTCGGAGATTTAAATGTTTCACCGTTTAGCTAATGGAGTCTAACACAATGGAAAATGACACTGATTTGCAGAATAGTGGTATCAAGTTTGAACCTCACAGCATCTTAGTAGTGCGTGTGTGAGAAACCTCTCTCTTCCTGTAATTTAGACTATCGCTTGTATTAAAAAAAAGATATTTCATTATTTAGATCTTTCTCTTTATATAACTAGTCTCTTCGCGTGCGTGAGCGCATACCAATTGACTTTCTCTACATATACAACATCTCAAGCGTCATCTTTATTTTTCTTCTTATTTTGCTGATGACTTCAAGCATTGTTCCTTTGGGAAAGCTGGGTCGTTCAAGACGTTCAACATCATCTAACAACAATATACTTATGATGTGAGCAATAAGATTTTTTAATGTCTTTTTGAAAATATTTCTGGTTGTTGAAGTAGGCCTTTTGAATAGATTGCGGATTCTATAATTCAATCCAATCCGATCGGAGGTTAGGATCCAATCTAATTTTAATTCAACTTACGTTGATTTGATTGAATTTTGAATAATCGGCTTTGTAACCTAAATTATCTAAATAAATATTGAAACATGAAACAAGTATCGTTAAATTTGTAATATCTGTAAAAGTAAAAATAAATAATAATAAAAACCAGCAAAAAAACATGAAACCAATTAGAGTGGATTAAAATTATATTATCACAAGCAAATTTGTCATCAGATTGAATCATGTTTGATAATTAATTCTGAGATCCAATCCAATATGTCAACAAAGTCATCAAAATCATTAAACACCCCTAAACGCCGGATCCTCTGCTCTGATTTTCTCTGCCATGATATGCTATTCTTTCA